GCCGGGCTCTACTGCTAGTTAGAAATCAAATTTGAGAATAATTGAAATTAAATTTAAAATCCAGCAAAAGTCACTCATGAAATAAAAATAATTGTTTGTATGGAAAGTAAGGACCTACGTACATCAAATTGTCTTTAAATTAAGTGATGATAGAAGAATTATCATAGAACTTTTAAAAGGTAAGCTTAAATATTAATGCAATTCTTAAATGCAGCAATCAATTTTGAGTTCTTCTGTAGTTTGTTGCCTATCGCATATGAGAGCAGTATGCCTCACAAAAAGAAATCTCCACCAACAGAGGAACAGAATGCAATCAAAAGAGTGAGGAAAAGAAAGTCCTGTGCAAATGAAAACCCAAATCAAACAGCAGCCTGGAGAGCTTTCAATGCTGAGAAAAACAATGCTGAAAAGACTTAGGGACTCTCAAACTCCTGAACAAGACAAAGGCCCAATCAAGAGCCCTCCACAGGAGGTAGCTTAAATGCCACCCTAAAAGCTAGTTTTATTATATTTTTAAAAATTTCGGAATGAGATTGAAATTATGATTAAATGTTCAAAATTCATGTTTTTTTTTCTAATTTTGTTCAAGTGCTTTTGAGTATCTCGGTCATTATCAAAAGCTGGGTGTTGTCAGTATGGTAGACAAAATCATTTTTGACAAGATCCTGGCAGTTTTGGATTGCTGGAATTAGAATCAAAGTGACAACATATACAGAGTTCACCAAAAAAGTGTCTACACACTTCAAGAAAGAAAAGACTTATCTTTTGTAGTTTTATGAAATTGCAATAACACTGCTATATGTGAACTTTATTGGAATGATGAATTTTTCTTTCAACAAGATGGTGCATTGCTACACTACCAGCAAGATATGCGAATTTATCTGAATGAGAATTTACAAGGACACTGATGAAGATGAAGAGGTGCAGTTAAGTTCCTCCCACATTCTCCCAATTTAACACCTGCAGATTTTTACCTATGGAGTATCCTAAAGGATATTATGTATCACAGAAAACTGATTACATTGGCAGGCCTTAAACAAGAAATTGAAAATGCATGTGCAGAAATCCCACTGGACACTTAGGCCAACATTGCTTAAGCAGTAATTTACCACACTAATAAATGTCTGGAAGCTAAAGGCAACTATTTTGAGCATCTCTTGGGATTTGTAGAGTCCAAAGTTAACTTCTATTAATCTCATTATGTCTGAATAAATTTAATATTACAATATCTTTACAAGTTTTTCCTCTCCTGAAGTGTGGATACATTTTTGGGGGCAGGATCTGTAAAATGTTAAATGAAAGATATTTATACGTTATTCTTTCTTGTATGCATATTAAATATATCATACTCATATTAAATACTTTACGCACACTTCAATATACCATCAGACAACACCCAGTTCTTAATAATGACCGTGATAGCTGAAAGTATTTGAATAAAACAGAAAAAAAATGAACTTTGGACAGTTTATTCATAATCTCAATCCCTTATTCAGATTTTGGAAAATATAATAAAAATCAGATAGACAGAACTTGTTTAGAGATCATACATATATATGAGTGAGAGAGGACCATCCATCTTCAAATCTTGTAAATTAGTGCTACAGAACCACGAACAAAGAACTGTACCAAATAATGAAAACCACATCAATTGAGGAATTTCAACAGCAGCAACAACTAAAATGGGTAGCACATGTAACTAAAAGAGAAAATAATGATATAATCAAGATGTTGATCTTCCACACTACTTTAAACAAAAGGTTAGGAAGGAAACTCATCAATACTGGAAAACTATTTTCCTGAAAGATTGTTTTAATAGAAAGATTTTATTAATTTCAACTGAAAAAAAGTCCAGAATGTTCTTTTAAAAACAAAAAAAAACATGAGTAAACTGAACAACTTGTAGAACCATCATGATGACTCATCTCAACATTTTAGAATATATTTAACATTTTTTTCACCCAGTATAAGTCCCAAGAGCCACTCAAGGTAGAATGAGTTTGTTGTAAAGGCATACAAGGAGAAAGCAAGAGGTACATATTAGGGGTATGTGTAGGACAGATAACTGTTGACTCTAGACTTAAAGAGTTTAAGATTATAGTGATCAGGGAAATATCCTCTTGGGAGTCTGTTCCACCAAGTAGCTGTTCTCAGGAAGATGCTGCTTGATTGAAACTTCCCTCTCATCAATGGAATAAGGAGGGAATGAGGTGAAGTTATTCCCATGTACATGACGTGTTGTGTCTTTATTGGGAATGTCTGAACTAGTGGAACATGGCAATGTAGCTCATCTGAACATTTGTCATGAAAGTAGCGATAGAGCAGTGATAGGTTTGCAATGTTGCATTTGTATGAAAGAGGCTGTAAAGTGGGAAATAATTCATCACCCACAAGGCCATCTAAATAATTTGGAACTCTGTCAAAACTGGAAAAAATACTGTATATATATATATATATGAGTATTGGGCAAGTTTTTATGATCAGTTTTCTTACACAAAAAATAAGCAATCACTCTATACAGAGGTAATTTTTTTTTGAAGATGTTAAAAATTATGCATTTTCAGGTATTAACAAAAACAAAAGTACAGTATCTAAATCTTTGTATCAAATATTTCACATTAAGTGTTTTTTCTCACCATTTTGGAGTAGTGTTAAGAGAATCTATTTTTTATGAATAAAACTTCTGAGTTCTGGATCATTTGATGTGGGTCAGATGACCTTACAAGTGGAGGTCTTTCATCTGGGTATTTGTACTCGTTGGTTGGTGCTAAAATTAAGTGAGTTGGTTGGCAAAGTCAGTTGTTGTAGAATTCTTCCTGAGAGCAGTTCGTTTACTACCATTCGCTGACTTGACATGTAATCTATACCACAAAAACCCAGCAACTCCTGACTGAAGTTATTTTGAAGTATTTCTAACTTCTTGCCAGTAAGACTTTATTTTTTTTACCTTTTTTAGCCACTGACTACATCACTCAAACTTTTTTTCCTGTAAAAATGTAGTTGATTGTCTTGACATTCCAATTGCTTTTCTTTATCTTATTTCTTCTGTTGCACACGTGACAGATAGCTTTATACAAAAAAGAATGAAGACCATTTATTTGCCAAAAAATGTTTCCAGGATGATGCCCAATACTGCAATATTTGACTACGGTATTGCTCAGAAGCTGAGTTGTATTATACATGAACTATATGAAAAAAATCAGGTTTTTCACAAAGAAATTCAGGGGTTGCACTATACATGAAATAGGCTTATACACTAGTCTATATTGTACATAGAATGTAATGCCTATCTATCATTAAATATTTCATATCTAACTAAAAATATATCTGTAAAAGGACTATGAATAAAGGCAAAATGAAAGCTTATCCCAACCAACACATTTCATCATCTCCTGGACTTTATCAAAGCAAATTCAAGGATTTTATTTTCAAACAGGTATTTATAAACAAAAACAAAAATGTTAGGTAAGCCTAAATTCTTATAGTAACATAACCATTTATTTGCCATAAAATATGTCCAGGATGATGCCCAGTATGACAATATTTGACCATGATAGGTCAACTAGTATTGCTCAGAAGCTGGGATTGTATTATACATGAGCTATATGAAAAAATCAGTTTTTTCCAAAATAAAATTCAGGGGTTGCACTATACATGAAGCAGGCTTTTATACAAGTACGTATAGTAAAAAAAATAAATCAGACATTGCAAAAATGTTATCAGAAAATAATTTACAAGTTTATTTTTGAAAATTATTGAAAATTTTTAATTTCTGAATCTAAACTTGCTTCTTTTTTTTTTTTTTTTTATTTAACAGGTGTTTATTAGAAGAATTGGTGGCGACAAATCTTCACCCTACAAGGGAATCAACCAAATCCAGAAAGGATCCAATGACACGAAGCAGTAACAACATTTGCACCAAATCTTGCCTTCCAGAAATTGGATTTGAGAAAATGCAGAGCTGATTTTTGCATTCATACTAAACTCTATTTTGAGTCAAATATGTCAGCTCACAAAATGCGAAAGAAAGAGACTTTTACTCTTCATTTTTAATTATATACTCAGTGGCACACAAGTTGATTCCCGAAGAAAACTTTCATCACTACTGAACCAAGATATTGAGATTTAAAAAAAGAAAAAAGAAGTCAGCTGTAAAAAAAAAACTTGAGTCAACATGTAATTTGTTAAGTTCTTGTAAAATTTGAATTTTATGACCAAACTGATCATAAAAAAGATCTCAGGTTGATTTTTAGGCTAAAAGATACAAGAGAAGGCCTCTTGTTTTGAATATTAACCAAGAATTTAAATTTAATCTTTTAATAGAGAGAGAATGCTCAGAACTAAATTTTAGACAGTGGATAAATCTAATTCAAAAATCTTCTTTAAATTTTGTTGCTCTATTATTTTTTAAGGTAAAACATTTGCAATAAAAAAAAAAAAAACACAGTTTCTACAAACCAGAATAACCTTGTACAAGAATCAAAATTAAAATAGAAATTTTCTATATAAATTCTGTCATTCATTTGAATGATACATCAACTAATTGCTTCCATTTTCCAATAAATAACAAATTATGACAATATGTGATGATATTTAAAAAATCTTTGATCTAGTTAAAGTAAATTAAGTAAAATTTTAAATGAATTATTTAAATATTATTTTTATGATGAACTTCTAAAAACTTGTACTTGTTATTTAGTAAGGTTAGCTTAGTTTGGAACAAGGCCACAAATGCAGGGCACCCAGTGAGGTTTAAACTCACTACTCAGAGGATTATAATTTCATTCTTTAATTTATTCAGTATTATTTGTTTTTTTTTTAAATTGACTTAAAAGAATTTGAATTAAAATAATTCCTTGAGTTTGAAAAATAATTCGATTTTGTTTAAACTGTTTCAATTTATACACATTACAAACAGATTATTAGAAAAAAAAAAAATGGCAGTCTCCAACAGTTCTGGTCAAAACTATGAAGATCTGACTGCTTTTAGCGAAAGCACAATGATTGTTACTACTCCCGGTGTCCGGCTCAATACAGTTTCTACTACTACCACGACAACTCAAGATCCTTTCTTGGTGACCGACGAACAATCGGTCATGTCAGATGAACTGTTAACACCATTTTTGGACTTACGCAACATAACATTTGACCTTAGCCACTCAGAGTTTAACATTTTCAACAACCACAACTGGCAGATTTGCATTGTTTTTATCTACATCCTGGTCATTGCGATCAGTCTAGCTGGCAATGTGCTTGTTATCCATATCATTTTCCGAAACAAGCATCTGCACAATGTCACCAACATCTTTGTTGTAACCCTAGCGATATCAGACATCGTTCTGTGCGTCTTTTATCTTCCTTTCCAGTTACACTACCAGCTGACTGATAACTGGTTTTTTGGCAGGTGGTTATGCCATGTGATCATGCCGACGTTTGCTGTTCCCGTGCATATTTCTACCCTGTCTATTTTGGTCATTGCTGTCAATCGCTACATTCTCCTCCTGCCCCCATTTAAGCAACGCATCACCCCACATTGTGCTTTTATTCTTCTTATAATTATTTCTCTTTTGTCATTTGCACTTTCTGTTCCATTAATCTTCTTTGCAAAACTCTATGCAATTCCTGACAATTCCTTAAACATGCACTTTGTTTACTGTGGCGAGGCGTGGCCATCGATACCTCTACGCAGGGCATACAGAGCCTGTGTCTTTCTCTTTCAGTTCTGCCTCCCACTGCTAATCACAGTCTTTCTCTATTTTCGAATATATTTCATTCTTAAACGGCGTTCGTTTAAGAAACTACAGAATAGTCATCGCCATCGGACAAATAAAGCGCTTATGACCATTGTTCTGTTATTTACAATCTGCTGGTTACCATGGAACATTTTTGTTCTGCTTGACGAGTTTGATTACGAAGTTGTACGTGGCAAGTTCTTCAAGCTTACCGACCTTCTGCTAAAAATACTGGCCATAAGCTCTGCTTGCATCAACCCAATATTGTATGCTTGGCTTAACGACAACTTTCAGAAAGAGCTTGATCATATTGTTGGAAATTCTTCTTCTAAAGATGAAGACTGCCTCCCAACAAAAGAGGGTCATACTCTGCTTCAGCCAAGTCCGTCTGCTACGCAAGCAAGCAGCACCTACAGCGAAAATTCTACAACTAATTTCTGTTGATATCACACCATTTTTAAATGGTGCCCAGTGTCATCTTAAAATATTGTCAAGGAAACAGGTAAAAAGGTTTTTTAAAAAACAACTTGTCTATGACAAGTAAGAGGAACAACATGACATTATTTTTTACATCATTAACAATCCGGTTTTAAAAAAATGCCAGAAAAAAAAATGTAATTTTTTTTTTGTTCAAATTGGCAGTGAAAAAAACTTCTATATCTTATATATCATATATATTCATGTAAAAGTCAATCTTGTGCAAAGGTCTGTTCTTGATTTTTAGCCAAGAAATTATAACTTGTATATTTATTGAACAATGCATAATTGATAATCAAAAGACAAAATCATAATAATTTAGAGATGTTGTTTACTTGTATCAATAAAGCAACAGCTACATACAGTGGACCTCTTCTAAAATTGCTTCTCCCCATAAATAAAAAATTTATTTATATTTATATATATATAATATAAAATATATATTATATATATATATATATATATATATATATATATATATATATAATTTTTATATATCAAGAACAATATTGGGAAAAAGATGTATGATGAAGTGGAGAAATGTTTTCTTGTGGCATGTTTTGTCCTTTAGGACTTTATCGTACTAAATTTGTTGAGTTGGTGAAACTATACATGCGCATTAACAAGAGATGCTGGGAATTTTAAATTTAAATTTTTTTTTATAATCTAGACGATTTCATTTAGATTCTTACATATATAGGAGAAACCTTGAGGAATCTAAATATGTTACTACTACATCCAAAACAATAAAAAGCTAAAAACCTGAAGGAGTTTACTCCATCGTCTGTAATAATTGTCACAAAAAAATCTCAAAGAATCTAAATAAAAGATTATATGAACACAAAAGGAACATTTTACAAAACAATACATGAAATGCATTAGTTGCTTACTGTAATGAGACTGACCACAATTTTGACTTAAAAAATGCTACTCTGATCAAAGGAGAAAACAATTCACTAAAACAAATGTTTAGAGAATGACTTGATTACAAGGTCATCTATAGTAAATTTGTCCTGACTCTTACAATCCACCATTCCTTGTGTGGAATATCTAATAATAAAAGTGATGGAAGGAAAAAGAATTTAAATGAAATCTGCTAGATTACATAAAAAAAAAAATTTTAATTTAAAATTTCCAGCATCCTTTGTTTGTGTGCATGTGTAGTCTCACCAACATAACAAATTTAGTCCAATGAAGCCCTAAAGGATGAAATACATTACATGATAACTTTTTCCCACTTTGTCATATATTTTCCTCCATATATGTCATAATACAATTATAAAAATATGTGAAAAATTATGAGAATTTAACATTTTTCAGGTTAGTAGAACTTCTGCCCCAAAAAGTGCTTTATAGACAACTAAAGCAATAATCAATATGTTCCATTGACCAATCTGATTGACTGACTCAAGAGTTTTGAATCAAAATGTTCTTCATGGCCAGACATTTGATAAATTTATTGAAATTATTATCAGAACTCATATTTATATTCCTTTAGTGATAAAGTAATAAACAGGAAGTGGGCATTTATAGTTTTCTACAATTTTCTTTCCTTTGTAGCTCTTAGCTATATTTAATGCTGTTGAAAAGAAAACAGGAATGTCTACTCAAATACATGTGCTTCAGTTATAATGTAGCAATAAACATGTACAAATATGAAATCTGGTAATAATTTCAATAGATTTATCAAATGTCTGGCACTAATGAGTGTTTTTCAGTGAAACTCTTCAATTGGTTAAGTTACCTGAACTTTTCTTGATTTATTTAATATATATAATTTCTTTTTAAGCTATAAATGGATTTTCTAAAATCTAGCACCATTTCTTATTACAAGTTGAGAATTCTTTATCAGAAATTTTTTAAACTGGAATTACTTCAGTTATTAGGTTTTCGAATACAGGCTATTTAATTTGTATATAGCCTCTATAAAATGGGGCAGCTTGGGAATGAAACCCAAGCATAAATATGATATCCCTTTACATTTCATAACACAGCTTATACATACATCCTGAAGGTAGTTTTTTTATAAATTTTGTGTACATATAAGTAATGATAATAATCATGTAATGTTCACACAAATTTTTAAGTTGTGAAATTAAGACTTCACGTAAAAATAAGGTTTTGTACTTTCTGTACATTTACGAAAAAAACATGATTACTACTTGCATAAAATGTATAAATGCAGGACTTTGCCTTTTTGAATAATATCTTTTCTCAGCACGAAACACCTGGTAAGTAATCCACAAACGATGGTATTGCTGTGATGATTGCAAACAAAAAACTGGCACCAACATAGGCCACATTGCTGGGAAGATGAGGTCACTTACAACAGCTGAACATCACCTAGGAATCTTCTCAGTGCTTTCTGAAATTTTCCATTTGTGGCAAGTCATGTCATCACCTGAGAAACTTTTGGATTTAGGAATTTCAGATAAAGGATACTCAACCTTCAGTATAAATGCTATATTTCATATGTACATGTGAAACTAATATCTACTGGCCTGAGCAGTCATAATCTTCTATGTGACTTTTTTTTTTTTTAAGCGTTTCATCCCAAGCAAGGTGGGGAGCTACTAGCACACAAGGGGTTACAGAGAGTTGGAGCTAGAGCAAAAAGGAGTGATAGAGGAAAAGATGAAGAGAAGGATAGGGGATAGATCAGGGCATCTGGAGACATCAATTGACATTACTTTTGAATAGTTCAAGATTATAGCTATCAGGGAAATAGGAAGAGGGGAGGGAATTCCACAGGCAAGATGTGCAAGACATGAAGCTATTGGAGTAGAAGAGACAGCTACATTTAACAGTTTCCACAGTGAAAGAGTGTGAGCAAGATGCCAGCCTAAAATGCTTAAAGTCATGAAGTTTGGAACCAGCGAAAGCAGATCCTCGGAGCAGTTACCATGAAAGTATATGTAAAAAAGACAGAGGGAGGCGACGGCAAGTCTGTGAGAGAGCGAATCACAGACGTGTTGTTGCCTCCTTCTGTCTTTTTTATTCCTTCAAGACATGGGCGTTCATGGTTCTCCACAAATTCTTATTTGTAAGTATTATCAATGTTTATCTTTTTACTGTCAATTCCATTCCCTTTTCTGCCATTCATTTACACAAACTCATTAAGTAAACGACTCCCTATTGAAAGTCTTATTAAAGAAAACATGCCTCTTGGTAGTGGTTAAACACACTGAGATTACAGTTGGTTTCCCAGGTTAAAGAGAATGCAGATTTGTACCCTAGCAAGGGAAAAAATTCTTTAATAAGACTTTCAATTACTCAGACTGGTAGACATTATTTTCACTGTTTAAAAATAAACAGGGGTGTCTAATCAAACACGTGTACTCATAAAATAATGGGTTAGGACAAAAATCTGTAGGTTTTTCAAAAAGTAGGATTTGAACATGTGATTTTGTTCACATGTGACTGAAATTTAACCTCAACATGTCTTTCTGTACAATTTGTGAGGAATATGAATCTTAGATGTTTTTACATTAAAAATAAAAATGGGTGGGGGGGAATGAGATGAACTTTTATTTCTCGAAAGGAACAAGCTGTGCAAACAGCAAAAAAAGGTATGTGCCATTTATGGAGATGGTGCCATAGCTGAGATTACTGTTTGTAAGTAGTTTGCTAGGTTCAGAAATGGAAATTTTGATCTAAAAAACCAACAACATTCTTGGAGGCTTGCAGTCTTTGATGATGACATACTGATTAAGAATAATTAGGTCACATGACATAGAATAATGCCAAGATACTCCATGTATCTTATATGAGCATTGTAAGGTATTGGAAAACATTTGGATATTTACACTTTTTACATTGTTTAGACTGTTGTCTTCATCTTTATTTCCATATTCACAACATTTTGGCCGTTGTACACTATGGCCTTCTTCAGAGGATATTTGGCATTTCAAGCTGAACCCTTTATTTAGCCCACAGGGGTAGATTGCCCTAACTCCATTTGCCATGTCTTTCAATATCTCAGTTTTAATTAATTCTCCCTGGTAACTTCACTCTCCAAGTTTTTGTTCTTTCTGTTGTGGCCAGGGATTGAACTCACAACTCTTTGGGTCAAATCATTTTTAGATCAATCCACAAACACTTTTATCTTTTCTTCTCAAACGCAACAAAAACAAACCATTTTTGAAAAGAATGCTCATGATGAAAAATAGATTGTTTACAACAATGTGTTGTGGAAAAGGTCCTTGGGGGGGGATGAAAAGCCAGTCTGTATCTGGAGAAGGTAATGTTATTTGGTGGGATAGGAAGGACATTATTTACATTATTCAGACTATTGTCCTCATCTTTGTCATCATATCTATTACAATGTTTCGGCCATTGTACCCTCCAGCCTTCTTCAGGTGGTTGGAATGTTGAACTGAACCCTTTATTTCACTCGCTAGGATAGACTGTTCTAGTTCCACGTGCCATGTTTAATGGATGTCAGTTATCAGTTATCTCCTGTTAATTTCTCTCTCAAAGTTCTCCACTGCCTTAACCGGGTATTGAACTCAGATCCAGTGACAGGACCCAAAGAGTCTAACTAACACCTTTATCACTGTGCCATGTGGGACATTGAAGGACATTGTTTATTAGAAGCTCCTTCCACAAAATCAAATGTATCAAGAGAAGTACTCTTCACAATTGGACCAATTAAAAGCAGCAATTGATGAAGAGCTTTAAGAATTGGCCAATACTGAAAGGACAATGTCGCACATCACATCTCTGCAGACTCAACAGAAATTGGTACAGCTTAGGTGGGATGTCTTACTACACCCACAGTACTCACCTTCAGATTACCATTTATTTCTATATTTATCCCTACAATTTTTTTTTAAATGGGAAGAGCCTCAATTCTTTGGAAGCTTGTAAAAACACTTAGGCCACCAAGAAAGATATCAAGTTCTGGGAGAATGGCATCAAAGTTGCCACAAAGATGGTGAAAGGTAGTGAAACAAAATGGCATAACA